AAACACATGCGGTCGCGGCCCAGCTGCTGTGTGGGCGCCAGGTCGGCCCAAATGATGCCACGGAGATGGTGAAGTGCGCGGCCCAAGCAGGCAGCCTAGACAGCTTCCAGTTTCAGTACGACTGGGATGCTGCTGAAAACATTGAGATCGTCGCCGTGAACTTGCAAGGAGTGTACCCATGTGGTGCAGCAGCTTCTGGCAGAGGAGCAGCGTTCCGTTCAGGCTGGCTGGCAGCCAAGCCATGTGACTGTGACAATGCAGCGCCTGATGGCTTCTTGAACTGCAACTTGAATCAGACTCTTGCTGGAAGCCCTACGAGCTTATCCATGAGCTTCTCCCTGTTCCTGAGTGGAACGGTAGCGCGTGCCGTGATAGGTCTGATAGGTGCCTTGTTGGCCGCTGTGGTTTTCGCTGAATTCGCAAGGCGGAAAGGCGACGCTGGGCCTAACTGCTTCGATGACAACTGTGCCACAGAGACCCGCCGTGAGCGCTTGTTGAAAGTCGCGTTGACGATGGCATTTCCGAGTTGGGGTTGTTATGTGGTTGGGATTCTCCACCCCTTCCCAGCTAGTTTCGAGCGCTTTCTGATTCTTGGGGTTTTCTGCGCCCTTTGGCGTCACGGATTCTTCTCAATTAGGTTGGGCTCCGTGTTGAAGACCGAGGCTCTACTACGATCTTCACGAATGGCGTAATAGCTAACCTCAGGTCGCGGGTGATAAGAACAGATGATGACAATAACAAAAAAATAAGCATAGTATGAATAACAAGAACGGCAATATCAAAAATGTGTGACTTCGAGCAGCTCTCCTGAGGTTTGTTGTGATGCCCTACTTGGCCGCTGGCAGTAGCGCTGGTGGGCCAATCACGACGCAAAGTCAACATTATTCTGGGCAGAAATTCCCAAACCCCCCCCCCCCCCCCCCCCCCCCCCCCCCCCCGCGCGCCTATGTAGGGTTTAGGGTTTAGGGTGGCTTGAATGATAGTGTTTTGAGGCTCTCTGAGCTTTCCTGAGGATCCTACAGGTAAGGCCTTTGTAGGGTTTTTTTGGTTTCGAGTTTAGGGTTTAGGATCCCAAGGCCTTTAAAGGGGGATAGCCGGTGGGGATGATGATTCAGATCCCTCATTTGGCATGCTAATGGGGTCGACCTATCCTTGAATCCTTGAATGATTTTTGAGGGACCCTTATAAAGCTAACACCAAGCTAAGGCCTAAACCTTGAGTACCTCTCCAACGCCCCCCCCCCCCCCCCAAACAAAAAAAAAAACAAGCCCCGAAACCGAGTTGAGCTGCTGCTGCGAAAGCCCAAAAAGTCAAGTCATTCGAAGTTAGGGTCCTGGTTAGAGAGGGTTTTGGGTCGGAGTGGGAACTCCTTAAGGGCAGGGCTCCCTGTGATCCAAAGCCCACAAGGGTCGACTGTTTAGGGTTTAGGGTTTAGGGTTTAGGGTTTAGGGTTTAGGGTTTAGGGTTTAGGGTTTAGACCAAAGGCACATGGTCTTGAGGAGGCTTGAAAATGGCTCCCACCTCAGGTCTCCGGGTAACGATTCTTCCGCTTCTCCAGTCTCGAAAGCATCCTTAAATCCTTCCGGAAACCCTTAAGGGCCTATACTTCAGAGCAACTTGTTCAACCCATTAAACACTTATTGTGCACATGGTTTCGTCAAGTATGATGTTACATCATATCATCTACACAATATGTACGCGTATGTGTATATATATATGTATATATTATGCATGTATAAAACAAAATCTTAATCTAATCTCATCTAACCTAACCGAATCTAATCTACTCTAATCGAATCGAATAATCTAATCTATTCTATTCTAAATCTAACCTAATCTAGTCTAACCTACTCTGAGAACTCTCGCGTTCCTTGCTTGGAGCCCAGGATGATCAACGGCATCATCATGGCCATCGTCAACGGGCAGCTGGGTGGTGCCCTGCCACATGGAGCCCCGGAACCCCCCAAGAGTCCCTGAAACCTTCAACATCCCTAAAGCCCCTAAACCGTTAGATCCCCAAGTCCCTAGACCCTAAACCCTAAACCCCTAAACCCTAAACCCCTAAACCCTAAACCCCTAACCCTTTAAGGCCCTCAAAGCCCGAAATCCCTAAGACCCTTCAACCCTAAACCCTAAACCCTAAACCCTAAACCCTAAACCCTAAACACACCCCTAAACCCCTCCCATCCCCTCTTCGGGCCGCTAAAAACCCTAAGTTTCTAAGTCCCTTAACCCCCCTCTCCAGGCCCCAGGGTTTAGGGTTTAGGGTTTAGGGTTTAGGGTTTAGGGTTTAGGGTTTAGGGTTTAGGGTTTAGGGTTTAGGGTTTAGGGTTTAGGGTTTAGGGTTTAGGGTTCCCTCCGCTCCTGGAGTCGCCCCGGACCTGAGGTAAGATCTACAGCTCCGCCTATGGGGTTGGCTACCACCGGAAGGAGCCAAGCCTCCGAGCCTGCCGCTCTCTGAAAAAATCGAAACTGCTTGTCTTAGGGCTTAGGCTTTAGGGTTTAGGGCTTCGGGCTTAGGGCCTAGGGCTTAGGGCTTAGTGTTTAGGATTTGGGGTTAAGGGCTTAGGGCTTAGGGTAGGGCTTATAACGCAGTGGGCTTAGAGATTGTTGGGGACAGCACATCAAGTTTCGGCGTGGCTCAGCCATGGATGCTTGCTGGCAGGACAGAGCCGACATTTGGCTCTTCAACGTGAACTTCTTCATTACCCTGTGCACCCTGGCTCTCTGATGCTGGGCTCCGATGCTCCCACACCAGCCTCGCGAAGGGAGTCACATTGAAGCAACGCATCTCCTAAACCCTAAACCCTAAGCCCTAAGCCCTAAGCCCTAAACCCTAAACCCTAAACCCTAAACCCTGAACCCTTTCCTTTGAACCCTTTGAACCCTCAGCCAAAATCAACCCTGGACACCTTGAAGAGAGCCCACGAAGGAGCCATATTGATGTCGAAGGTGCGGGCTTCCTTTCTTCCGCCCTTTTTGTTCTCTCCCGAAAGCTTCTTGGGGGTTCGGGGGCTTTGGGTGTTTTGGGGTTATATAAGGGCAGCTGAAGGCAACACCATGTTCAACTTGGCGCTCACAATCTACGCGGTGTGTCTCAGATGCACTTAGATAGAGACAGGCAGTTTAGGGTTTAGGGTTGAAGTGCTGCTGCTTGCCCGAGGTGTGCTAGCTTGCAGCATGTAAGCAGACGGCAATGCAGTAAGACCTGCCAGTCAGTGCTGGCCCCAAACCCTAAACCCTAAACCCTAAACCCTAAACCCTAAACCCTAAACCCTAAACCCTAAACCGCTTCCAAGCCTTGGTTGTTGGCGAGTTTGCCGCTGCATCGCTGCAGGATGGCGACAGATCCGGACTGGGTTCGGAATGCACAAAAAAAGCGCCTAAAGCCATGATTTAGGGTTTAGGGTTTAGGGTTTAAGGTTTAGGGTTTAGGCTTCAGGGTGTTGAGCCCTCCACCCCTTGAGACGTGAGCCCATTGTACCCTTGCATGTCAACCCTACAAAAGCCTACGAAGCTCGAAGCCCCAGTTTGTTCCCCTTCTAAGAACGAGGCGTCGTTGAGTTTGGCCCGGTACTCTCACGTTCAAGTGAGCAGTTCAGCTTGCAAGTGCCAGTGGTACGGGAGAAGCCCTCCTTCCAGCTGATTGTCCTGAAGACCTGCGCCGTCCCCGCGCCACTGTCCTGAGGAAAGACATCTCCCTGCCATCCAGCGCCTAACCCTAAACCCCCTGAACCCTAAACCCCCTGAACCCTAAACCCCCTAAACCCTAAACCCTAAACCCTAAACCCTAAACCCTAAACCCTAAACCCCCTAAACCCTAAACCCCTCTGAGGGGCCCCTAAACCCTACTGAACTCAAAGCCGCAGGAAGTGGCCCAAGCTGGCATCGGACTCTTCCTTGGCAGAGTTTCGAGCCTTGATCCTCTAAGCTTGGCCGTAAAACCAGTTTAGGGTTTAGGGTTTAGGGTTTAGGGTTTAGGGTTTAGGGTTTAGGGTTTAGGGTTTTGAGTTTAGGGTTTAGGTTTAGGGGTCGGAAAAAACCACACTCACTCACAACAACAACCACAACAAGGACAACAACTACAACAAATCACAACAACTACCAAGACAGACGCAACAACCAAGAACAACCACAGCAACCACAACAACCCCTTGTCAACTGCCCAAGCACTAAACCGAGCTTGAAAGCAGCTAACAGCTTCTTGCGAGGTCCTGTCCGGTCAGTTGAGGGGCCCCGGGCAGAAACTGAGTCGTATTGGAGGGGGGTAACCCAAGAGCCAGTGAACCCTAAACTCTAAACCCTAAACCCTAAACCCTAAACAGGGGATGTTTTGGTTCGGTCTGGGGCTTGGCATGGCTCATTGTGCGCAAGACTCGTGACCCCGCTCGCAAGGCTTGCAATCACCCAAGGCAAAATCAAGTGTTGTAGTTTCTCTCTCGTCCCAAGGAGTGTGGCGGTGGGTTTGGAGTCCGAGATCGGATACAAGCTGCCACTCGGCGTGGGAGGCTCTAAGCCGTCTCAGGAGTTAGGGAAGGTCACGCCAGACATGTTGCCATATGGCGTGTGATCTGGATTTCCAGGTACTTGATGCTTATTCCGGGGCAGTTGTTCGTGAACCCTTTGCGCCTTGGCGAGATTGGCAATTGACTTCTGACACAGCAGCAGAGGGTAGGCCCAAAAGACCGGACAAGTACATGAGATTGCAAGGTGTGGGCTTCAGGCCGCCTCAGACTGGGTTTTGGAGTACTATACTTTAATGCTGTTTTGGTTTGTGGTTCCTCTTGTAGCCACTGATACCTAAAAAGTAGCTACTTTTGTTCCAGGGTCTACTCCAAAGTAGGGATCAAGATGGCCTGTGCAGCGTGTCTCTCGTGTGCGTTTAAACCCTAAACCCCAAACCCTAAACCCTAAACCCTAAACCCCCAACCCGAAACCCGAAACTCCAAACCCCAAACCCTAAACCCTAAACCCCAAACCCTTTCCGTGCTCCCCTCAGGATGGGCTACCTCACCGGGAGCATCGTCTCGTACGTGCAGGCGAACTTGGTGGCCAAGGTGCTTGTAGGGTTCAGAGTTTGGGGTTTAGGGTTTAGGGTTTAGGGTTTGGGGTTTAGGGTTTAGGGTTTAGGAGCTATCTGAGTTAGATATTCCCCTTCCTTCAGAAGCACCCTACCCCGATTCCCACCAGCTCCAAAAAGACCCCGAAGGGATTCAAACCCCTGACACATTCCTGGGGTTGTAGTTTCGGGGTTCAGAAACCCTAAACCCTAAACCCTAAACCTTAACCCTACACCCTAAACCCTAAACCCTAAACCCTAAGCCCTAAACCCTAAACCCTAAACTTTTTTTGTTTGGGGGGGGGGGGGGGACGGCGACATCCCTGCAGATCATCTACGTGTGGAAGTGCCTTCCAGAATCGCTCTTGGGTATCCTCAAGGCCTGGACCGGTGGTTGCGTCGATGTTGCTGGATCCTAAACCCAAAAGCCCTAAAACCTTTCCAGACAATAGCCGAAGCCCCTGAAGCCCATACTATGAACCGCGCAAGCCCCCAAAGCACCTGAACCACCCTCAGCCTCCTTGGATGCTACTCTGCCCCCCTCGCCGCCTCAGGAGGCACAACTTGTGGCCCTTCATAACTTGTGGCCCTTCATGGGTTCGGAGTGAAGGGGAAATTTGGGTGCGGTTACCCTAAGCCCGAAACCCTAATCCCTAAACAAGAATTTCGGGGCTTGCGTGGGTGTGGGGGTTCAGTCTTGGGGACTTGAGGTCCTTCAGGATTCAGGGTGTAGTACCTCGGTTGAGTTGTTTGCGGTGTAATTAAGGCTTGAAGCTGCATACGAGCACTATTTGGGGTTACAGAGGTCTTTTAGGTTTAGGGTTTCTAGGTTTTCCTAGGGTTTCTAGGGTTTTCAGGGTTTCTAGGCTTTCTAGGCTTTCTAGGGTTTCTAGGGTTTCTAGGGTTTCTAGGGTTTCTAGGGTTTCTAGGGTTTCTAGGGTTTCTAGGGTTTCTAGGGTTTCTAGGGTTTAGGGTTGAGGGGAGACTATCCAATACTATAGTCTTTTGAGGGCATGTAGATGCGTCTTCTCGAGTGCGAGTCATGTCCCTGCGCAGGCGTTGCTACCATGGTCACCAGCAAGCCTCACAGTGCTTCTCTTCTGCGGTTTAGGGTTTAGGGTTAAGGGTTCAGTGTTTAGGGATTAGGGTTTAGGGTTTGGGCTTCTCTTCTGGATATCTTCGTATGGGGGTTTACGAGTATAAGGGACCCCTAATAGAGACCCCCGAATAGTAGGGCCCTTTTTAAAGGACCCCCAATAACAAGGTACCCTCCCCCAATATGGTAAACCATATAAGGTGTCCATTTTTTGGAGATGCCCCTGTTGAAATATCCTGGGGATAATCCTAATAAAACAAACCTTACCTCGTATACCCTGTGCGAGATGTCTACAACAAGCCCCTAAATTTCAGACCGCTCGAACTGCTAGGCTCGTGTCCATCAACACTCCCCCTAGCTCGACGCTTAGCCCGCTCCAAGCCTGTGAAGTCCGAAGCTCAAAAACTGAAAAGGTTTAGGGTTTAGGGTTTAGGGTTTAGGGTTTAAAAGCCCCTTTTGAGCCCTTATTGCAAGCCCTTATGACAAGTCTTCATTCGAAGACGCCTACCCTAAACCAACCCCTAAACCCCAAACCCTCTAAACCTTAAAACCTTATCAAGAGACTTGTCCCTTCGTTGACAGCCCCAAAGAAGCTCTCGGTCTCTGAGGTACGACCGTAGAAGTGCAGAGATGGGCTTCCGCGCTGGGCAGCTTCTTGAGACGGAAGGTTTGGCCTAGGGTGTAGGGTTTAGGGTTTAGGGTTTAGGGTGTAGGGTTTAGAGTTTAGGGTTTAGGGTTTAGGGTGTAGGGTTTATAGGGTCAAGGGTCCCAATGTCTGAGATGTTTCCAAGGTGCAAAAGGTTTTGTCGTCGGGCCGTAGGGCATTTTGAGCTTTAAAGGGCGGTGATGCGTAGGGCTGAGGGCCGCAATCGCCGCAAAACTCAGGTTGCAGTCACAGGCGCTGTAGCACATTTTCAGAATTCAGTCTCAATGTTTTGGGGTCACCTGCGAATTCCACACCGCGACAAAGGGAGTTTTTGACACGCAGCCACTTCATCTGACTGCGATTATGTGCCTCGACTAGTTCTTAAGGACTTCGAGTACGACCATCGTCGAAACGGTTTGCAGGGTCACTCGGTTGGTGATGATGCGGTTGGGATCCTCCATACCGCACCAGAAAAACAAAAGGTGCACAGTCAGGGGCGGTCGCTCGCAGAGCGACCAGCCGGCTTGGGCTTTGCCGGTCTGCGCTTGAGCCAACGTGCTTTCAGCTGGAATCCTTTCGGCCTGTAAACTGTAGATGTCCAGGTGCCGCGAGCCGCATGCCGAGCGCACCAAACAGCTTCGAAACGGTTTGCACCAGTAGCCACCACTGGAGCTCAGTACATTTTCGGACGTGGAGGCCCTAGTACTTTAAGGCCCTAGTAGTTTAAGGAGTTAGGGTTTGAGCATAGAAATTCTGGTGTCGTTGCGCAAGGTCCTGATCAGCTGGAGTCCCTGACTGGACGGGACTTCAATAACACGACCACTCATCATAAACCGAAAGCCGCGGATGTATTCGCACGAGTGGCGATATCGTTCTACGGCGTTTCTGCTGCCGATGTTGTTGTGATGTATGTCTGGCAAACTGCTCCGGCTGATGATCATTGCAAATATGTAACGTGTTCGGGCGACAAGAATCCCAGCTGAGGATAGGGCTGCCCTGGGACTACAGCAACCTGATCTTGAACCCGTTGTTGCCCAGTGCTCAGAGCTTTCATGCGGGGCATCATGTGCGGCACACTTGGCACTTTATTGGAGGCATCGGGGAAGCTAGCAGCATGATCCTTCTTCACGTCATCTTACTTGCAAGACTCTTATGAGTTTATTCTTACAAAAATATTCATAACATCGATTACCAGAGTATTATGTATATGTATATATACATATGTATATATCATAAATGCATAATATACATACATTATATATATATATACACATATAGTAATATATATATATATATATATATAGATATACACACATATGTTTCTTGATTCATCTACCACACCCGCCCTTTACCTGAGGGTCTTCTTCACATTCTTCGTCATCTCGATGAGCAGCCGCGGCCCCAAACTTCGGCTTTCTCGGAAACACCGCATAAAAGGGTTTAGGGTTTAGGGTTTCGGGTTCAGGGTTTAGGGGGGACCGCACTGGGCACTGGGTTTCGGTGGGACCCGCTAAATCGCTCCTTTCTTCTGCGTGGGACCTTCCACCCCGGTTGGGTTTTACAAGGCTTCTTAAGGGAAGGGGATGGCCCCGCTGGACCACTTTTTTCGTGTAGTTGCAGCGTTGGTCCAAGCCATGTCTGACCATTCTGCTGGTATGCCCCTCCGAGTCCCTGGAGTCGATTGGGGAGCGACGGGGAGCGGGCTCTGAAACCACAAAATTACGTCTTCTGTGCTCCCAGCAGGCACAAGTGTTCGAGCTTCGCGGCCGTGGCAAGTGAGATTCATGCGTGTGTGGTCTGTAAAGCCCGGACCTATAGGGCTACTTTCAGGGGAGCTAAGTCCCCCCACTTCGAAATAAGGGTAAGATGATGTCTGCTCCCCTCTCCCCTGGCCTCATTTACACCACAATTGGCGAGCTTCCCATCGGCGACGGATAGTTCCGCATCGGGTTGGCTTCCGCGTGGCGGTTTCCAAGGACCCACCCCTCTGTAGACGACTGAGGACCCCGCACAGCTGCCCCAACACGGTACAAACACACACTTCCCGAAACCTTCAAACCCTCGAAAGCCCTTAAACCCAAGACGCTGAGGCTTCTAAGCTTGAAGCCCGTAATTCCCAACATCCCCATAGACCAGAGACCGCGAAAGCCTTTTGATTCATCATAAGCGCCCCTTTTTGGGATGTTCCCCCCTTATACTATCAGTCCTTAGTAGGGATTTTACGAGGGGGTACTATCATCCCTCTTGAGGACTGTTCGTATAAGGGTTCGCATCCCAAAGCCCCCCTGTCGTAGTTCCTTCGGTACATCCCCGCAGTGTGCCAGCCCAGGTTGGACTGAGTGCTCAAGCCTCGGTTTTTTTTTGGATGCTCCAGACTTCAGGGCGTTTCCAGGGTTTTTTCGGGCTTGTGGGCGGGGAGGTGGGCGGAAGTGCAGCGGGGGCAAGACAGGATGGGAGCTTCGGTGTGGTTCGGGAGGGGAAGGGGTGGGTGGGGTTAGAGGCTTTCGTGCATGATGGGGGGTTTTGGGGCTCAGACCTTACCTTCAAGGTTCAGATGCTGTCAGATGCTGTCACCGTGAGGCTTGAACTTGTCCTTGCCCAGCGTGGGTTTTTCATGCCCAACAGCATGCATCAAGAATGCAGCTACGTTTCTAATCCTAAACCGTAAACCGTAAACCCTAAACCCTACACCCTAAACCCTAAACCCTAAACCCTAAACCCTAAACCCTAAACCCTAAACCCTAAACCCTAAACCCTAAACCCTAAACCCTAAACCCTAAACCCTAAACCCTAAACCCTAAACCCTAAACCCTAAACCCTAAACCCTAAACCCTAAACCCTAAACCCTAAACCCTAAACCCTAAACCCCAAAGCAAGCAGCAAGGTGCTGGCCTGGTGGTCTGGACGCTCTTCTTCTATGGCTGGAGCCGCTTCATGCACCTTCGGGTGCAGTCGGCCCCTCCGGCATGTCTGGTAGGTTGCGGGGCCTTAATATTGGGGTTTTAGGGTTTAGCATTTAGGGTTTAGGGTCTAGGGTTTAGGGTTTAAGATGTTTAAAATATGCATTATATTTTTTTTGGCGGGGGTGGGGTTAGTACAATGATAAAGGGACTATAAGGGAATACTATTAGCAATTATTCCGACCCCTATCTTACACGAAACTCTCCAAAGCCCTCTCAGCTCTACTTACCTAGGTCGGCCCTTGGGACATTTTACATCTTTTTTGGGTTTGGGGGGATTATATTCAGGCATATTTTCAGAGGGTTTTAAGGGCCATCCTACTTACGTAGCCAATAGTGGAACTAAAACCTTTTGAGTTTCCTTATTTAGCAGAAATACAGAAGTTTATGGGAGAAGTAAGCTCTGGAAGGTTCATGGGTAGTTAGGGCTTTAGTGAGCCTCCGTAGGGTTATAACCCGCTAGAGTGAACTCTTACCTTACTTATAGCCCCACTTGTAACTTCCCATGAACCTCCAAGTACACCCTCAGCACATAGGGCTCAGGGTGTCACTGGAAGTAACAATTGTTGCGAGTGTTACCCTAAACCCTACATACTCTATAAAACCCTATATGCCCCATATACCCTGCATACCCTATACACCCTATACACCCTATATACCCCTAAACCCTAAACGCGTACCCCTTACCTTTATGGAGCCCTAACCCCTAGACCCTAAACCCTAAACCCTACACCCTCAGAATCCCTACCAAAAGCCCCCGACTCTGGGCTTTCACGCGCCAGATTGCCTTCTACAGCACCGACAAGCTGGACCGGAACGTGTGGGGGACTCCGGTTTTCTGGAGTTTAGGGTTTAGGGTCTATAGGGTTTAGGGTTTAGGGTTTGGGGTTTAGGGTTTAGGGTTTAGGGTTTAGGGTTTAGGGTTTGGGCCAGTTTCAGCCGTAACCTATATATATACACACACATATACAACATACATACATACATACATACATCCATGCATGCATGCATACATACATGCATACATACATACATACGTGCACATATATATATATACATATATATATGTATGTATCACAATGTATATTCGTAAACACTGCTTGCATGTTGGCCCTCTAACATGTAGGGCAAAAGCGAATGAGATGGCTGCGACCCTTTGTTCATCCAAAGCAAGAGCCCTGAAATCACGGGGCCTGTTGTGCACATGGCTGCCTGCTCTATATATAGAACTGAGATGTTCTAGGGCTCCCCAAAAAACTAACCCCTAAACCCTAAATCCTAAACCCTAGAACGCGCTGACCTTGCGAAGGTGGATGATCTGGGGGGCCGCCCCGCTGGCCCTTGTCGCCACCTCCGCTATAGCTTGGCAATTCCGAGCAGGCCGGGTCTAGGGCTTGGGGGTTTGGAGTATAGGGTTTAGGGTTTAGGGTTTTGGGCTTAGGGGTTTGGAGTTTAGAGTTTTCATCTTGGGGCGGAGATGGGAGCTGAGGTTTTAGAGTCGTGGGTGCTTTGGAGTTTAAGGTGCAAGTGTTTGCTAGATTGTGGGTTGTGGGGTGTTCGCTGTTCTCGGGTCATGGCGAGTTGTCGCGAGCGCCCACAGATGACATAGATTCGGAATGCACAGAACGAGCGGGCTCGTGTGAGCTGATGGTGCTGTCATAGAGCCCCAACCCTGTTCCAAACCCTGAAGCACTGTGAGGTGTGCTCGAGGACGCCCCGCTATGGCAGAAATGGGCCCTGCTCCTGTTCACCTACGCGCAATCCTCGGTCTTCCGATGTGCTTGGCCCATTGCCGCTGCTTCGGCCAGGTTTCGGTGTTTGAGGTCGGGATGAGGGCTCCAAAACCCGAAACCCTAAAGCCCAGCTTGGAAACAACTTGCTTGCCAGAGCAGCAACAGGAAGCAGTGGCAATGCTTTTGCGGCCCCGTCTCAATCTTCTTCGCGAAGGGTATGTACAGGGAGGCTTCATCATGTGGCATCTGCGGCCAGAAGCTACGGCCCTGATTCGTCGAATAGAATATGTATGTTTGTATATCTAGGTATCGTTGGTTGATATACATATGTATATAATACATATATATATATATACATATACATATATATATATATATATATCAGTGTTCATATTAGTATTGCCATGAATGTTTTTCACAAATGTCAGTAAAAACAATGTATCTATGTATACATACATACAATATATTTATATATACACATCCCTCTCATGACTACCCAACACTGTTCAGAAGCACGTTAGCTTTGAGAGCCCCAGCTGAACTGGAGGCTGCAGATCCCTGAAACCGTTCGACCATCTAGCAACAGAATCTAAGGAGCCCCTCTTTCTGAGAGGTTTAGGGTTTAGGGTTCTAAGGGAAGCTACGTGGTCCTGAATACTAGTTCCTTACCTTTTTCAAAGGGCTCTAATGTATAGGCCCTTGTGTCTTATAGAGGATGGAAGGTGTATATAAAGGTTCCTCAATTGAGGGACCATGCAGCTACCCTCAGACTCTTGGTCTTAAAGCTTGAGGTGTTTTGCTCCCTGCTGTGGGCCCGGGGCCCGAGCGTGAAGATTGAAGGAAGGGCTTAGGTTTTAGGATTTAGGGCTTGGGGTTTGGGGTTGAGGGTTTAGGGTTCAAGATTCGGTGTGGAATTTCTAGGAGTTTGCGATCCAACGTTCAGAGCTTTACTTGGAGGTTCATGTAATAAGTAAGTTACCTATAGTTATCAAAGTTACAACGTTACTTTAAAACTTACTTGGGGTACTTCGAACCCTACTTATAGTTACCCATGAACCTTCAGGTAGGGTTTAGAGATTAGGGATTTCTGGGCTCAGGGGGTAGATGGTTTTGAGATTGGGGCCTTGCTTGAGCAGTTCCCTCGACATGTCTTGTTTTGCGCGTCTTAAAGGCAATTGCGAATCCGTCTTAGATATCTTGTCCTTTCTATTTCAGAACTTTATGCTTTATATTATTTGTTTATTCTGTTTTATGTTGTATTGGTATATTCTGCTATTAGTATATTCTGAGGTGATATTTTTTATATCATGAGAACTGAGTTGTAATAATTATTATACTAGGTAATATTCTCAATACGTTACATTATTGAAGCATTATAGTATCGTTCGTATCTCGACAGCTCCAGTTGCTCTGTCTACGCCAAGACTTAAGCCCCACTGCTTGCAATGTGCCTTTGCTGGAATTCCAAGCTATGGATCTCCGAATTCTACATCTTTGATTCTATATGTTTTCTAAAAAGAAGGACTATTCTCGTTAGATTATAGTATTCTAGATGAATGGAGTTGAGTATGCAGGACGCCCCAAACACCCAAACGGCACGCAGGCCTTCGTACCCGTAAGCCAGAGAAGATCCCTTCCTTACTCTGCGGAGTCGCTTTGTCGACCCTGTTGCATGTCCACGGCCGTCGTTCCAGGTCGTCACCTTGAGGAAGATGTACCCCAATACCACCGAGAAGGGCCCAGATGCTCGGGACGGCGACCTGGAAAGCAGTGGCCAACTAGCCCGGGAAAAGCTTCGGGCTCACGCAATGAAGGACAACCTCGGGGGATGGCTGCGGGTTGAGGGCTTGAATTGTACTTGACCTGATCTGCGAAAGTCCGAGCATATGTCGCCCGAGGTGACTTTCTGAACTGCAAGAAGGATTGGATCTTTTCTTGGTTCAACTGCAACCCTGTCTTCACGGTGCCGCTTTGCTTTCATTGGTCGTCTTTATAGGGTCGTAGTCGTTGCGTCTACAGATTAGGTAGGTTTAGGGTATAGGATTTAGGGTAAACCCTAAACCCTAAACCCTCAACCCTCAACCCTAAACCCTACTCGCACCGCAGAATCTCGTGATCTTGACACGTCCTTCGGGTGGCCGCGCCTGTCTGGCTGCCGACCATGTGTGCTCTGGCAAACTAAGGAAATGTCTACACTATCTTCCCAAACTTCTTGAGGACACCGAACTTGGGAAGGCTCAACCCACGGCAGTGATGGACAGGAGTTTTCTCTGAGAAATATGGGGGGTTTCCGAAAATAGGGGAACCCTGTGTGTGGGGGGGTCCCTCTAAGGGGATTCTTTTCAGGGGTGCCCCTACTTTGGGAAATGCCCCAATACCTCCTCTAGTTGCTCACAGTGTCCCTGGTGTGTCCCGGGCAGGTGGAGACCCAGGTCGTTGGCAAAGCCGCAATGTGGGACCATCCCCTCGCCTGCGGCGATGACCCGAACGAGGTGAGGTACTACAGGCGCCACCCTCTCCGCCCCCCAAAGGATGGCAGGTTCTTGGTAGGGAATGAGGGAATGAGGTTTACCCTATACATAATAGCCCTAAACCCTAAACCCTAAACCCTAAACCCTCCCAAACCCTAAACCCTAAAGACCTTATAAAGGGTATACATAGGGCCCGCCTTCCTTCATCCCCTACTGAGAACCAGGGGCAAGGTCTGCAACCATGCGTGGTTTCAGGACCGATGTAGGGTTCCTAGTGGTTTAGGGTTCAGGGTTTAGGGTTAAGGGTTTAGGGTTTAGGGTCTGAATGTGGCCAGCAGAGCTTTGAACAACAAAAACACGTGGCCTGAGCAACCTTCCCATGCAGAAAACCTTTTTGGTCACTGAAACAGATGAGTTCGCTTTCATGTGGCCTCCCGCTGCGATTTCGGAGAAGGTCAAACGCAGGCCACATAAGCCGGCAACAAAGCTCACCCTAAACTCTTCAGGATAGGGGACCCCTAAAATGGACCCCCAAATAGTAGGATTCCCTCATCGTAAGGACGCCAAGAAGGCACCCCCAATCTCGGAAACCTTTGGTGCAAGACGGGACCGGGTTCGAACCTCACTCTTCACCGTTTAGGGTTTAGGGTTTGGGGTTTAGGGTTTAGCGTCTAGGGCAACTTTTTTTGCTCAATCTCCTACAGAAGGCTCCGGCTTTCTTGTGAGCTCCACCTTGGGTTGCAGTTGGTTCCCCTAAACCCTAAACCCTAAACTCCTAAACCCTAAACCCTAAACTCTCAACTCCAAAACCCTAAACCCTAAACCCTGCGGGAAGGCAGGTGAAGCACTTCTCCGAACTCCTTCTTCCCCTTGTCTAGCTTTATTGTGTATTGGCCCACAACTCCATGCTTTTGGGAATGCAATCAAAAAGGCCAGAGTATGATCAGCAAAAAATCGCCCCAAGATGCTGGTAATAGGAACAGGATACTGTCTCATTGAACCAGCGTGCGCCCTGCATGCGCCCTTCGACAAAGATCTTGACCACATCCTCTTGCTTGGCCCCTTATTTCCTTCCCAAGATTTTTGGCCCAAGTCCCTTACTACCGAAGCCCTAGGGCGCCTCGCTCCAGCTGTTTGACCTCCCCCCCAGCAGACCTACAGCTCTAGAGCCAGAAAGAAGTTCCCAATGGATCAAATTTCGGATAGCTGGGTTCCTAAACCCTAAACCCTTAACCCTAAACCCTAAACCCTAAACCTCATCAGAGGTTAGGGTTTCGGGTTTAGGGTTCCAGCTGGAGCTGGGTCTGTGAAAGCTTTCCCGAAGCCCTGCGCGGTAAACCCCAACTCCAAGCCTGAAGCCTTGTCCACAGTCCTGGCAAAGAGTACCTGCACTTCTCGCCCGAAAAGCAGAAGAAGATGCAGGACCCGCAGCAGGTTTGGTTGAAGACTTAGCGACTAGGGCCTGGGGACCTGCAGAACGTAAAAGGCTACCCTGAGAAACCCAAGGCCCTGGCAAGCTGATTTCAAATCTGCCAAGCACTTGAAACAAGCCTTCAACCCTTTTAGGCAACAAAGAACCCCCGACCCTGAACTGTGCACACGGCTCAGCGATCATCACCTTTTGTGTGACATGCGGCGAGCATGAAGCATCGAAGCCCACCCTTTGAAGGCCCCCTCAAATTTGCGAAGCCCTAAACCCTAAACCCTAAACCCTAAACCCTAAACCCTAAACCCTAAACCCTAAACCCTAAACCCTAAACCCTAAACCCTAAACCCTAAACCCTAAACCCTAAACCCTAAACCCTAAACCCTAAACCCTTTTCTGAAAGGAGGGTGACTTCCATGACTGGCTGGAGTTCGAGTCCTATCTCGCCCTGGCCTTGGGCGTAAGGCCTTGTTCTAATCTTTCTCCTATACCCGCCAACCCCAATCCCGAAACCCTAAACCCTAACCCTAAGCCTTAAACCCTAAACCCTAAGCCCAAAATCCTAAATGTTGGCCTGGTTTATGTCTTTGGGGTGAGAGCTTAGTTAGGGAGCCCATCAGCAGCTTCAGTCCTCTTCTCGCGGCCTCCTTGCGTGCCCCGACGTAAACCGCTTAAACTTCAAGGCCCAAACCCAAAATTTCTAAGCTACCAGACGTGGAAAAACCGGGTGTACCTGCATATACATATTTTCCCATACAAGTATGCACTTTATGTACATATGTATATACCTTAAGTATGCATCTCGCCATGGATTGCCGAGGAAGCTCTCGGCCACATGGCAGACCTTTGTCGGCGAAAGCGGGGCCGCGTGAAACCGGGCGTCTTGGCTGAGAAGGGAGTTTAGGATCCATGGGCTTAAGGGTTTCGGGTTTAGGGAATCTAAGGTCTAGGGTTAAGATGTTCCCCCTTATACTAACAGTCCTTAATAGGGCTTTTTGCACCCCCTACTACAATCCCTATTCAGGACTGTTTGTTTGAGGTGGAACATCCCAAGCTTAGGGTGTTTGGGCTGTTTAGGGGCTGCAGGGGTTCTGAGCGGCCTGACATATCTTTCAAGGTTTTGTGGCATGTTGCAAGGCCTTCCAAAAAAAGCTTGAGAGTTGTCCTCCGGCGCGGCCAACCCCGACAACCCCCTCCTCTGGACACCTCCTTCCGGCTTCAAAGTTTGGCTGCGAGCGGTTTGTAACTCCTGAGCTTCCATGGTAGGGGATTCTCCTGAAATAAACCGATCTAAATCCCAAGAGCCCCAGCCCTAAGCCCCTGTTAAAGCCTAAACCCTAAACCCTAAACCCCAAACCCCATTTTGAAGCACCCGCCGCCGCCCAGAAGAGCTCTACAAGCAGCTGGAGCTCTACAAGATTGACTTCAACGCACCCAGGATCTGATCCAGTTTTACGCCCCTATGTCGGGGGCCCTTTATTCTTGAGCTATCGGTTTAGGGTTTAGGGTTTAGGGGTTAGGGGTTAGGGGTTCGGGGTTAGGGTTATCCTCATTTTCAGGGAAATGTGCACTCTCTGCAGAGAGAATGCTACGAAAGCCCATCGTAAAACCCACCAAAAAACACCAAAGGCCTGGCGTTGTTTTTTTGAGCTGCTTACCTTCAGAGTCTTGCAGAAGGGTGAGCCCTATGCCAGTAGCCTATACAAAATAAAAGTAGGTTTGGGGGTTGTAAGAAAAGCCCCAAGCACTGCTCCCGGGGCTTGGGTCGCCATCCGTCTCTGCGGGATCTAAAACGACCCTGCAGACCGGATCGATGCAGCAAACGTGAGCCTGTGCTGCTATTTGCTTAAGACCCCCCCCCCACCCACTCGAAAAACAATAATCACAATGGAAATAATTAATAAGAAGGTAAATACATAAATATACATATATATATATATGTACGCATGCACGCATGTATGCATGTATGCATGCATGCATGCATGCATGTATGTATGTATGTATGTATATATGTATAACAATCTTCCTCGAAGGGCAATAGCGGGATTTACATGTGTTTTTTTGGGTTTGGCAGGTTCTTAATTAAGCAACTTGTAGTGTCTTTGTGACATGTTGGCCTTCGACCAGACCAGGTTCAAAAAGGAATGCCCTACAATTGCCCAAAAGCTTTAAAGCGTTCGTTCTTCTATCCGACCGACTTCTTGGCTTGGAAGTCCGAATCCACAAGCCTACAAGTCAAGAGTTTTTTTCAAAGGCTCATGACACTGCATTGCAAATCTCGACCAGCCCCTGCATCGACTGAGCTAAAAGCGCTCAAGTGCATCCAGCCCACAAGGCAAAACAAGCATGGTCGCCGCATGCGATGCCATTCTGTCATGAAGGTTCTGCAGAGAATGGCAAGGGTTCCCACGCAAGAGGGCCCGAAAGGTGGGATGACGGTAGGAACCTTCTGAAGCCCGTGATAGAAAACTCCTACGCATCCCCTGGGCCCCGTGAAGCCATGAAGTTCCTGAAGCCCCCTAACTAATGAGTGAGCCAGGCATTCAACCGCAGAGGCTCAAGACACTCCGATGCGCTTACGGCATGACCTCTGTGTCGAGCTGTCTTCAAACCTACGATACGGTCTCGCATCATCGGCTTACGCAGGTGTCGCAAATAATTTGCTTTAGTTACAAGTATGTTCTGATACATCCCGAAATCCTGTTCTCGTTGCTTAGGCTTCCATAGGCTCTGGGCGGGTCGGCGTTGCCGTTTGCCACCTGACCGACAGCCCTGACGCCTCAAGGATCGGTGCTGCTTCCGCAGTTTCGGGGGTGGCGGGCTTGAGGTTTGGGGTTCAGGTTGTACGTTTCAAAAATCTGACCACACCAAGAGTCCTCGACTGCAGCGAGTACTTCTTCTGCTACTACTGCTCCTTGTTTTGCATTTCTAGAACTACTACCTACTGTTCCGAGTCATGGTGGCAGTGGTAGTCGTAGTGGTCGTCGTCGTCGTGCCCTGTCGATGTGACCTCACCGCGGTGCATAGCCAGATGACGACTCTTAAGTTGCTGGCGGTTTAGGGGTTTAAGGACTCAGGGGCTTCCGGGTTTAGGGGCTTAGGGGTTAGGGCGATTCCGGGTTCAGGGGGCTGAATTTGAGAACTTGGGGGCCTGAGGGTAAACCAGTCCTGCAGGCTCTTCCTGTGCCATGTGAGAACTTTGGCAGCCCTGTGGTACCCGTGACCCTTTTTTTGAACCCACAAAAGGGGCGCCCTGATTACAGTATTTGGGATGCTTACAGTCCTTAATAGGGATTAGGGATTTCGGCCACCATCTCTTCTGGTGTTCCCCGCCAAAACTCCATAGTCCGGAAAAGCTGCAGCAGGTGAAGTCGATGAAGTCGAATGGCCCTTTCTACTTTCGCCTCGGTAGCGGCCCCAGCTGACAGGAGTGGAGCACGATGGGCACTCCAAAGCACACACACACGGGATCGTGGCGTCAGCACATCGCCGGGCAGAAACACGCGGGCACTGGCGGAAGCAGGCATACGCCTTGGCCTGGAATCCCCGCGGCACTGTGGCGGGATGTCCAGACCACACGGAGTGGCTAAGGGGCAGAATAATGTGGCACCCGCCTGAAACTAATGTGCCTCCAAAGAGGTGGGCCAAAGAGGTGTGAAGAGTTTGATTTGGGCAATGGATCCGGAAACAAGACCAAGGCACTTGCGGGTCCCCCCCCCCGCACTCCGGAACATCCGAGCCCAGGGCCCGGCTTTCAGAATCGGCTCCTGTGCTGCCGGACTTGCAGCTGATGTACTCATCCCGAAAACCCAGAACCTTCGGCCCGCAGCCCTAAACTCTTAACCCAGAACCCTACCATGGGTTTAGGGTTTAGGGTTTATAGGGTTTATAGGGTTTATAGGGTTTATAGGGTTTAGTGTATGACAGGTGAGTCTCCGACCCTGCTGACGAACCGGCATCCCGGTTGCACGTGGGTTTTGAACTCGAATAGGTTTCTACGGGGATCGTACACGCGTCAAGGACAAAACGTAGACCTGCTCCCATGAGCATCTGCATGCAGTTCAAGAGAAGAGCTGATCCCACCCTTCCGATGCTGCTGCTCCTCCTCCTGGACCATGTATGGGAAGCGATTGCGCTTGAAACAATAAGCGATTGTTTTAAGCATCGTGCCGTCTCACGGGAATGGAAGGAGGCTGTAGTTGCTCGAATAAAAGGGAAAGGATGCAAGCTCTCCGTTGTTGTTTTTTGCCTGGGTGCTAAGTACAAGGACAATGCGATACTCATAAATCCCAAGTCGCGGGGCCCGCCCGGTCCTGTGCTGCGTTGAGCTTGTTTCATAGGAGGCTGTCAGCTACTCAATAAGCACCTCTGCGGCTACTATAGCGTCTACGCGCAAGCCGGACTGCTTCCCGGTTTTTCACTACCTCAGTTGGCAACGCATGGTAAGCCTTAAACACAAACCTCAAGCCATGTGAGGTCCAAACGCATGTCCCCTGGGACCCCGAAGCCATGTATAGAGCATAAGCCCTAAAAGCGCAAGAGCCGAACCCAAAGGCGGAATCCTTGGACCCTGCCGCACCCTGAACTCTGAAGCAGACAGTTAAGCCGGTTAGACCCCCTTCCAATGTCAATGGAATCCGAAAGTCAAAACCGTCAAAAGCTTCAACTGGACGACACGGTCTCAGGCATCTTTGCTGCGAATGGAGTCGCAAGGAGAGCTCCTATGCCCCGCTTGCCGGGAGACTTGGGGGGGCTTAAGAATTATGTGTCGTCTAAGGCCTAAAGACACGGGGCAACTCTTTCGGGTTCACTGGCATGATTATAGAAAACTTCATAGAGGAGGTACTCAGCACTTCCTATAGGGCTTCACCAAACTTCATAAGGTGTTACGGGGTTTTTAGTTCACTGCTTGTAGTTCACTGCTTAATGTTTTCGCTGCCGGGCCTTTGAGCTTTTTGGCGTTTCTGGACACTCGCTTGCAGCTGCACCAAAGAACAAAAACTACCCGCCGCATGGTTTACTGGCGTGCGTTTTGCTTTGTTTTCTGTACCTTGTGCCTTTTTCCCACGGCTTTTAAGGGTTTTCATTGCGGGCGGGGCTGTAAAAAGTGCTTCGTTGTAAATTCGAAATTGGTATTTACAGCACAGTCGTGCGTTCGGGGCCAATCCGATTCGAAAAACGGAATGTTATGTTTGCTTGCTTCAGGATGTTTTTTGCCTCGAAGACCCCTGAATCCCAAAGACCCTCAGGCCTAGCAAAGACCCTACACCCTGAAGACTCTGAACCCTCAAGATCCTAAGCCTAAAGACTCTGGCCCCAAAAGACCCTAAAGCCTAAGACTCTTCTCCCTAAAGAGACTTTTCCTCAAGACCCATTTAATAACCCCTTCAGAGGAAAAGTGCAGAGGGTACGCAGAACATGGCAAAAGGCAAACGCGGCCGGGCACAAGAAGGTGGCAGCACCATTCGCACGCACTGGTAACACGGACGTTATCGTCTTGCGGGCATGGATGCTCTGGCCATTCGCACGCACTGGTAACATTGACGTTATCGCCTTGCGCGCATGGATGCTCTGGCCAAAAGCCCTGCAAGTATGAAATCGAGCTTTACGCACGACGGGAATCCATGCGGTAGCAGCAACTAGAACCTCGGTGGCTGATTAGCCAGTGGGCTCAGAAATCCATCAGGCTGTAAGCATTAAGCATGGTTTTAGTTCGGTTGCAAACCATCTTATAGCATGTACCTTGTCTTAGGTTCCTCGTTCTTGTTGAAGCCTGAAGCCCTAAGCCTTTAAACCTAGAAGCCGAAACCCTACAGCCATTCATATCAACCAGAGAGAAACAAAAACCCGAATTTGGATCCAACAAATTAGCAAAGAACCTCCCTAAACAGGGGGCCGTAACATCATGAGACTCTACCTTAGACCCGAAGGCTGCACCCTCGGGTTTGGGAACACTTTCCCTAAACCCTAATTAAATCCGGAACCCCAAGTCCGAGTATGACTTTCTTGGATCTTTAGACCCTCAGCCCTAAACCCTAAACCCTAAACCTAAAACCCTAAACCCTAAACCCTAAACCCTAAACCCTAAACCCTAAACCCTAAACCCTAAACCCTAAACCCTAAACCCTAAACCCTAAACCCTAAACCCTAAACCCTAAACCCTAAACCCTAAACCCTGCCCAAGTCTGCAAAAAGCCTGAGAAGGCCGTGGCTGTGACGCCCGTGCCCACTCCCGAGTCGCCCGGCCGAAGCATCTTCTGTTGAGGTGTTAAGGACTTTGGACTTGGGGTGACTTGGGGATTAGGGTTCAGGGTTCAGGGTTCGGGTTCCCCCACCCCCCCCCCCCCCCACCCCCAGGAAAAACCCCCACCCCCGCCCCCCCCCCACACCCACGACCACCCCCCCCCACCCCACCCTGAGGAACACCCCCGCCGTAACCCAAGCCAGAGCTGCTCTACACCCTGAACAGCCTATCCCGAACCATCTCGCAAGGTGGCAAGGACCTACACCTAAACCCTAAACCTAAACCCTAAACCTCCCTATGCTCGAGGTCCAAAATCGCTGTTCAAAGCTTCGGTCCGAGGAGCTTTCCGCAGCCTCCAACATGCCCGGGGCCTCTGATCTTGTTCGGGTTTAGGGTTTAGGGTTTAGGGTTTAGGGTTTGGGGTTTGGGGTTTGGGGTTTAGGGTTTAGGGTTTAGGGTGTATTTAGGCTTTAGGGTGTATTTAGGGTTTAGGGTTCAGGGTGTATTGAGATTTTTTAAGGGTTCAGGTCCGGGGAAAGTTTAGAGGACTGTTTTGTGAGGAGTTTCTTCTTTGGAGGGTCGGGTTGAGGGGAATTTAGGGGTTTAGGGGTTTAGGGGTTTCAGGGTTAAGGGTTGCTTCAAGGGTTTGGGCCTTCGTTAGATTTTTGGAGTTCAAGACATCCTAAAAGTCCTAAAGCCCTAAGCCCTAATTCGAGGGATTGAGCAGGAAGGTTTGCGGAATATGGTGCTGAAAGCCCTTCACCCTTCACCAGTGCCTAGTGGTCATTCAGCCTTGGGCCTATAGATTTGAGACTCTCAGCCCGAATGGCGCAGAAACTTACTGCAGGGCTCGGAATACTACAGGGGTAGTCCCTTATGGCCCCTATCTTAGAATTACCCCAACACCTTATTCTAACTCTGAAGGCCCCTCTCTGACATCCGAACCTTACCCTAAAGCCTAAACCCTAAACGGTCTTGAACCTGAGCCCTAAATTCCGGGTTAGAGGGGCAAGCCCTCACCTTCCAGTCCTTAGTAGCCCGAATCCCTGAATGCCTAAGCAACGTAAACCCCATGTGGTGTTTATAAGGGTTCAGGGTGTAGGGTCCCTAAACCCTAAACCCTAAACCCTAAACCCTAAACCCTAAACCCTAAACCCTAAACCCTAAACCCCAATAAGAGCCCAAGAGACCGCTTAAAAAGGCCCGGCGCCCACCACGGCTCCAGCGCCCCCAGGCGCGTCGTGGTGCGCTGCCAGGCTTCTAGTCTTAGCTCGCTAGGCCCCCTTGGGGTATTTTGTATGTTTTCCCTTGTTGGGTTTTAAGAGGGTCATCTTCAGGAATTTTTTTTATTGGGTTTTAAGGGCCATCCTAGTTCGGGTTACCGGAATCCACACTCAAACTTTGGGTTTCTTACACAAAGTATGGCTCCATCTTGGAGGGTAAGCGAGGACCCTCAAAAAGTACCAGAAGTTCGGGCAACTCCCAAATGAACCCGAAAATTGACCTGAGGCCCCCCAGCGGTTGGCCCGGACGTGCATGGGCAGCAGCATGTGAGATTGACTTCCCAGCACCTGGTACGCCCGGGGGCCAAGATGGAAGAAGCTCTCTCTGTTCTGGCTACTGGAGGGCTAAGGGTTGGGTGTCGATACCCCGCATCCACCAAACTTTAGGTTCTTTTTCGCTGGGGGGGTGGGGGGCTTGGGGCTTCAGTTTTTGGCGAGGGGAGCTGCTTGGGATTTCTCTTTCAACCTCTCAGCTCCTCAACCCCAAGTCTCAACACGAGTTGGTTCCTTAGTTCCTTCGTAAATCTCGTGCCTCCCTGCACAGACCAACCTGCTAGGGGTGTTTCTCAATGTGGCCCCTTTTCGGGGCACCCGAGGACCATGAAGAAAACTCATGGACTACCAGAAGTTTCGGACCAACTCCCAAATGAACCCGAACATTGAATTGAGGCCGCCTAGCAGCTGGCCCGGACGTGGATGCGCAGAAGCATGTGAGATTGACTTCCCAGCACCTGATACGCCCGGGGGCCAAGATGGAAGAAGCTCTCTCTGTTCTGGTTACTGGAGGGTTAAGGGTTGGGTGTCGATACCCCGAATCCACATTCCAAACTTTAGGTTTTTTTTCGCTGGGGGGCGTTTGGCTGGGGGCTTCAGTTTTTGGCGATGGGAGCTGCTTTGGATTTCTCTTTCAACCTCTCAGCTCTTTGAGCTTACGGAGGGACCCGCAACCCCAAGTCTCAACACGAGTTGGTTCCTTAGTCCCTTCGTAAATCTACTGCTCTGATCGTGCCTCCCTGCACAGACCAACCTGCTAGGGGTGTTTCTCAATGTGGCCCCTTTTCGGGGCACCCGAGGACCATGAAGAAAACTCATGGACTACCAGAAGTTTCGGACCAACTCCCAAATGAACCCGAACATTGAATTGAGGCCGCCTAGCAGCTGGCCCGGACGTGGATGCGCAGAAGCATGTGAGATTGACTTCCCAGCTCAACGTGGTACGCCCGGGGCCAAGATGAAAGAAGCCCTCCGTTCTGGTACTGGAGGGCTGATCAGGTTTAGGCTAAGGGTCTAGGGATACCCCGGATCCACATTCAAACTTCGGGCTTATGGTGCCTGAGTGCCTTCGTAAATCTACCAGTCTGAGCGCACCTCCCCACAGACCGACCTGAAATGCGGCCCCTTATTTTCGGGGCACCCGAGAACCCTCAAAAAGTACCAGAATTTCGAGCAACTCCCAAATGAACCCGAAAATTGACCTGAGGCCCCCCAGCGGTTGGCCCGGACGTGCATGGGCAGCAGCATGTGAGATTGACTTCCCACCACCTGATACGCCCGGGGGCCAAGATGGAAGAAGCCCTCTGTTCTGGCTACTGGAGGGTTAAGGGTTGGGTGTCTGGGGATACCCCGAATCCACATTCCAAACTTTAGGTTCTTTTCGCTGGGGGTGGGGGGCTTGGGGCTTCAGTTTTTGGCGAGGGGAGCTGCTTCGGATTTCGCTGGTTATCGCTTTGAGCTTGAAGAGGGACCCTCAACCCAAGTCTCAACACGAGTTAGTTCCTTCGTAAATCTACTAGCCTGAGCGCCTCCCCACAGACCAACCTGTTAGAGCAACTCCCAACTGAATTGACTTGAGGCCCCCCAGCGGTTGGACCGGACGTGCATGGGCGGAAGCATGTGAGATTGACTTCCCAGCTCAACCTGGTACGCCCGGGGGCCCAGATGAAAGAAGCCCTCTGTTCTGGCTACTGGGTTAAGGGTTTAGGGTCGATACCCCGAATCCATATTCAAACTTTGGGTTTTTTTACGCTGGAGGGGTGGGGGGCGTGGGGCTTGGGGCTTCAGTTCTTGGCCAGGGGAGCTGCTTCGGATTTTGCTTTCAGCCTGCTATCGCTTTGAGCTTGAAGAGGGACCCTCAACCCAAGTCTCAACACGAGTTAGTTAGTTCCTTCGAAAACCTACTAGCCTGCGCGCACCTCCCCGCAGACCAACCTGTTAGAGCAACTCCCAAATGAACCCGAAAATTGACTTGAGGCCCCCCAACAGTTGGTGCGGACTTGGGTGCGCAGAAGCATGTGAGATTAGCTTCCCAGCTCAACCTAGTACGCCCGGGGCCCAAGATGGAAGAAGCCCTCTGTTCGGGAGACTGGAGGGTTGAGGGTCTAGGGATGCCGACGGGGGGCTTACGGTTTCGGACTGGTTTGGGGTATGGAGTTCCTCAGGTGTCGTTTGCTATACAGCCTTTAGCAGTGACATTCAGCTTCATCCCTGGGGTGGCATGGACATCTGAAGGCTTCCTGTCCCGACATTTTGCCGCACCGTTGGTTGATGCCACTAGTTCATTTACTTGCTGTTGGTTATGAGGTACCCTATATAATCCCTTAAAGGGTATTTATGGGGCCCTAATTCCGTCATTCCCTGCTAAGCAACAGTAAGCTTCGTCTCGGCTTGAGGGTTGCAGGCTTGACTGGATGCCAAGTCTCGTGTTTGGTTCGTTTTCCTCGATTTCAAAAGCTATAGATGCTTTCGGGCACGGCTCTAGAAACCCTAAACCCCAAGCCACGAAGCCCTCAACCCCAAACCCAATACCCCAAACGCTACCTTGGGGTTTTTCAAAGTTGCTTGTCGCGTTCGGGGGTCTCGGAAGTCTGGAGGTTTCGGTAGCAACACGAAGCAGAAAAGAGCAAAGACAGCCCTAAACCCTAAACCCTAAACCCTAAACCCCAAGCCCTAAGCCCTATAGGCCAAGGCCAGCATGGCGAGTTCCCACTCAAGGAGAGCCGCCCGCTTATGTTCGGAGGCTTTACGTTTGGCTTCAGAGTTTTAGGGGTTTAGGGTTCAGGGTGTAGGGTTTAGGGTTACCTGGAGGTTCATGGGTTTAGGGCTTAGGGTTAGGGTTTAAGTGGGGTCATAGCTAAGGCAACTGTAGTTATAGCTGGTTATGGCCTTGTTTGGGGCATTTGCAACCCCACTTTTTTACTACCCATGAACTTTAGGCAGGGCTTGGCCTACCAGAAACCCCCAATTCCCCCCCCCCCCCCCTCCAAAGAATTGACGAAGGGTTTTAACCCCCCCTTTTTAAGGTTTGTAAAGCTTGACTCAACCCCCTTCCCGAACCCCTAAACCCGAAACCCTAAACCCTGCAGGAGGTGGAGCTGCAAGGCACCACAAGGATTGCGGCAGCTCAGCCGAGAATGGAGGCGACGGGGTCAAGACCTGAAGATTTGATTTCCCCTTCGAAGACGTTCGGTTTTGATGCGACCTGAGAATCACTGTTCGTGCTTCTCAGAAGCAAGAACAATAGGCATTGGAGAGAAGCCTTCCAGCCCTTGTCCTCTAGCTGCGAGTTCGGGTTGCGGTAGGACCCGGTAGGGTGCTCGGACTTGCGTCACCTAGTCGTCGTTTCAGCTTCGGGCAGCAAGTCTTTCGAACTATTGGTGCTGTGAAGAAGTGGCAAGATCGTCCTGAAGGCATCTAAGTGGATTTGCACCCGGCTGCAAAACACAAGCCCGAAACTTCCAAGAGCTATGCCAGGTCAACAGCCGCATTGACCAGACCAGTCAGGCCGTGTGCTTAGAGCACCTGCGGGTCCATCCTCGCTGCCCCCTGGCCCATCTGGAGTCCCCACCCCAAAGCACACGTCGAGCATCCGTTGCATGAGAGATCTCCTCTGGTCCTGCAATGTCACAAAAGAGTGTAGGTTCAGAGCAGAGTGACCTTGTTGTGAAGTTGTGTTGCAGGCGCTGGCACAAGAGTTCTGGAGGCGGTACGAACGTGCACGTTGATGCTTGCAAAGCGACATCAACGCCCACGTTTGAGCCTACTAGTAAGGAGGCTAAACCTTGGAATCCCTTCAAGTGCCCTCTGGTGCAGGTAGGGGCCGCCCGATTGATTCCGTCAGCTCCCACGCAGCCTACAGCGGGTTCACCCACAAGCGGCGTTCAGGCGCTGTTTGGGAATGCTAAGTAGGGCATCGAGGCCCCTTGCGTGGCTCTCCAGATGTTTGTGAGTTCAGCCGCTTCTTGGTGTATTCAACGATGCTTGACTCCTACCACTCCTTGACTCATGTTGGGGGGGTAGAGGGGCGGGCTGGATCTTGTAGGAGTGCGACTCCGTGGAGATGCTTGGCCCTTAACGGCCCGCTTTTGAGTTTCAGCCGAATCTCTGCACCATCGAAAGCGGCAACCCAAATCCGAACTCCTGGCACCAGCAGCGACACCTTTTCCTCAAGGGGGTTTGGGCGTTTCCTTGAGGCCAATGTTGGTGGAATTGACCCCGCGGCCGCCGGCGCAGGCTTTTTGAAAGGGTACTTTTTGCCCGCGGTTGAGTAGTGCCAAGAGCTCAATGCCAGGGTTGCTGGGGCTGTATGCTGATGGGGTGTAGGGGCGATGCTTAAGGGCTTAGGGTTCGGGTCTTTGCATAGGGGGCCCGGCCTGGCTTTGTCGGAGGTGCCGGCTGCGTTCTTGGAGCGGCAGCGGCGCCGCTTGGTAGAAATGATCGAAGTCGAAGCCACGACAGTCGTATAAAGCACCATCAAGCGAAGCAAGATCCCGAGCCAACTCTGAAAATGGCCGAGTTGTGCGAGCCGCGAAATGCGTCGGCAAGGACTTGCATTGCTACGTTGGGGTTTTGGAAGGGCTTCGTGGGAGCACCTGTTCACGGGCAGCGGAGCTCGCAAATGCTCAAAGCCATCGTCACAGCCACTGCATATATATATATATATATATGGTACCCCCCCCCAAAGATCCACCCTTTTTCCTCTTTTTTTCTCTGTTGAGGTGTTGCTGCTGTGTTGTTACTGTGTTGGTTTCCTTTTTGTTATGTTTTAGTAGCCCCGACACATGATAATAAACGACACACGACACCAGTACCTTTATTTACTTGACCGAGGCCCCGCGAATTTAAAACCGCATTTAAAAATTTAAGTTAAATGCGGACCAGCCCCCTGGAACCAAGAACCAAGAACCAAGATGCCCAGGACTCTTGATTCTGGAATCTTGGTTCCTGGGGGGGGGGGGGGGTCCGCATTTAACTTAAATTTTCGAATGCAGTTTTAAATGCAGCCCCAGGAACCAAGAACCAAGAACCAAGATGCCCAGGACTCTTGATTCTGGAATCTTGGTTCCTGGGGGGGGGGTCCGCATTTAACTTAAATTTTTAAATGCAGTTTTAAATGCAGCCCCAGGAACCAAGATTCGAGAATCAAGAGTCCTGGACATCTTGGTTCTTGGTTCTTGGTTCCTGGGGCTGGTCCGCATTTAACTTAAATTTTTTAATGCAGTTTTAAATGCAGCCCAACCCCAGGAACCAAGATTCCAGAATCAAGAGTCCTGGGCATCTTGGTTCTTGGTTCTTGGTTCCTGGGGCGCATTTAACTTAAATTTTTAAATGCAGTTTTAAATGCAGTCACGTCTCGGTTATGGATTATTAGCATTGGGCTGCGAAATTTTCCAATGCAATTTTACATATAGGAAACCCCAAAACTTACCATCTGCCACACTACATGATAAAACCTGGGAGTCACCGACTCATTTCCTCTCCGTAATCTATCTCTTGGAGTCACTGCCTCGCTTACAAAACTCTTTCGGGTTAAGCAATTAAACCCAAACCCTTAACTGTTAAACCCTATATGGTTAAGGTTTAAAGGTTTAGGGTTTAAGCTGTAGACATTTACACATAAGTCGGCAACTAAACCTAAACCTTTAAGCTTTGAACCCTATAGGTTCAATGTTTAAAGGTTTAGGGTTTAAGATTTATAAGCATTAAAACCTAAGCCCATAGAGTCCAAACCTTAGGGTTTAAGGTTGAGGCATTCAAACCTTTTGGGGTCTAAACCCTAAAACCCTATGGGGCCCAACAAGGCTCCAAGGTTTTAATCCCACAGGCGCTGAAGGTCTACATGCCCAGACCTTAGGTTTGTAAACCATTAAACCCTATAGGGTTTAAAGGTTTAGAGTTTTTTGCAGGATTTATCTCTAGCACCATCACGAGCTTAACCCTATAAGGGCTTAAGCCCTATAGGCTTAAGGTTTAGGCAGTATCTAGGCGTAGAACCTTATAACCTTGTGATTTAGGCATTTAAACCTAAGCCCATTTAGGTTTAAGGTTTAGGCATTTAAACCTTAGCCCTAAGCTCTTTAGGGTTTGAAGCCTAAAACCCTACAGGGCCCAAACTCAAAGGTTTTAACCCTATAGGAGCTGAAGGTAGACATGCCCAAACCTTGGGCTTGTAAACCATTGAACCCTATAGGTTTGAAAGGTTTAAGGTCTTTTCAGAGTTTATCTCTAAAACCGTCACGGGGTTGGCCCTATAGGGTTTAGAAGTTTAGACCCTAGAGGGTTTACAGGTTTCGGGTTTAAGGTATAGGCATTGTCTATAGGAGTAGAACCTTATAACCCTGGAGGGTTTGAGGCTTACATCTCTAAACCTCAAATCCCGGGTTATGCCCATGTTTGCAGGGCTTGCCTCATGTGAAAATGCAAAGATAAAGTAGAAGAAGTACCCACATCATGTATGTATATAGGGTATAAATATTGTATATCAAACACAGATAATGGAGAAGGCATGGGTGATGCGAAAAAAAATCATCTGCTGTAAGTCCCGGGGACGCGAGAATACTGTGAACAATTATCTTTTCACTCTTCCCTGAGACCGCCTGAAGTTATGTTATAGATACTTTACGGTTGCATTTGTGTTTTTCGGGGGTGCTTCAGGTGGTTGTGTGCCGTTATATCTATAGCGAGGGTTTAGGGTGGTTTTGAGTGAAAGACTAGTGAAAGGGGTACGTACGCCGAAAGGTTTTGCTTAGATCCTCTACTGATATATTTGTGTTTTTCAAGATGTTTCAGGTGGTTGTACGTCTCGTCAGGAGAAACGAGAAAACATGCTACGGGAACTGTGTTGCATATTGAAAGTCTCTAAAACGGTGGAAAGTCTCTAAAACGGTGGATCTTTGAGGGGGGGGGGGTAGCATATATATATATATATATATAGGCAGTGCAGTGGTAGCACGAGAGACCATTAACATAGACGTGATCCTGCCTACGCATTTTCGAGAGCGGAAGAAACACGGAACATGCTTCTATGTACCCGCCCGGTGCCCGAAACCGAGACCTTGAAACAGCATAAAGGAACTGTGAGTATAGCATAGTGTGTGTATACCTATACCTACACATAGAGCATAGTGGCATAGAGCAAGAAAAACGTCTAGACACCCCCGAAGCCGTCCCTTAAGCCATACAGCATTTCGGGCTCTCCTGCTTGGTGGAGGACGCGGCGCAGCAGCTCCGCGCCGGCGTCGGGATCCCAGCGCTGCAAGTTTTTTTTTTTTTTTCGCTTCCATGGTTTCCTGGCGTTGCGCAGCCGCGGCAGAAACATCATCCGAAGCTTCACACCCCAGGACGCGGCGACGGCCCTGACGCGGTACGTGGAGTGCCAGTGCCCGAGCCGGGCCTCGACTCTGAGACTTCATATACTGAAGAATCTCCAGTCTGGGCGTGCCGTTGTAGCCCCCTTGCAAGCCCCAAAGAGAAACTCCATCTCGAAGTGCTCAACATGGGTACACCACGAGCATCACTGACATACTGACATTCCCATGAGACACTCCAGAAAGCCCCGCAAGAAGCCCGTCTGTCAAACAAAGCCCACAGCACACTGCGAAGTGAAAGAAACAAGCGAGTTGGCACCTCAAGGAAGCCCCCCAAGTCTGCCCTGAGGTGGGCAACTCCTCGTCCGCCTGGCAGCTTTAGTGCGGGAGAAGGAATCAAGCCGAAAACCTCGAAGTAGACTCCTGGGGTCAAGCTTGTCGGACCTCGCCCTAAACCCTAAACCCTAGGACTGTAGCATCACCCCCCCGGGGTCTTCTCAACTCATGAGATCGCTATGTCAATGCACTCGGGCTTATAAGACATTAAGCACTGACCAAGAAATGGGGATTTTCGCTAGTAAGGGCCCCCCTTATATAGACTCCCAAATAGTAGGATCCGCTGATAAAAAGGACCCCAAAAAGGTACCCCGATTCTCGTGAAGCCCCAAATGACTTGTACAAGTACAATTAGGTGGACTGTTTTGGCTCGTGGCCCCGATACCGTACTAGCATCAGCTCAGTCGCCATTCGCTTGCTGGCCGCAGCGACCCTCAACCCTAAACCCTAAACCCTAAACCCTAAACCCTAAACAGTGCTTCTCAAGCTATCCATCATGCAGCTGGCTTGTCGCCGTTTTACATGACGAGTCTACTGCTCTCCTCATGTTTGCCCTATATCCCTCTTGGGAATGATTTTTTGTGTATATTTATAAATCCCAAGAGGACATTAAAATATTATGTTCGTTGAGGTTCTACAAGGGAGTATCGTGACATGGGCCCCAAAAAAAAAGCCGAGCGCAGGACCGCCCGGAGCTGAACCGCCGGCTGGGGCAGGCGGCGTGCACGCAGTGTTGCTGTGGTGCCACCGGCCGCCTACGCTATATCCCCCCTTGGGAATTACTTTTTGTTTTTGTTTATATCAAACCCAAGAGGATATCAAGAATATTGATTTTATTAAGGTTCTAAGGGGAGTATAGTATGGGCATGAGTTCAAAAGTGGTTTCTGACGTGTGTCCATGTGGTCGCGGATATCAGACAGTTCTTTGATGCCTGGCTGACGGCGACAGTACTAGGGAAGAAGAGCTATAAATAATAAATTCATATAATATAGCTAAAATATTATACTAATAAATATTATATATTGAAGCAAGCGCTGTTCAAAGTAGGTCTTGTGTATGGCAAAGCCCAGCATTGCCCAAAGATCGACGACGTCCAAGAGCCATGCCAGGTACTGAATTGGATTCAGCACCTTTATCTGGCTGCGCACTTAGAACGGTGCCTTTGCAAAAAAA